TGCCTTGAAAAAGACAACCACATCCCGGGCGGAGAGGGTGGGCCACTTGAGCCCCCAAATCCACGTCAGATTCATCTGGGCCCCTGCTTCTCTGTATTCTCGTGCCCGCACATACATACATCCCAGCAAGCTCCCAACTTTTTGAGCGGTGCATGTCTCAGATCCTTTAGCGGGTCCGCTGCCGTGAAACAAGACTGAAAGACACTCGTAGTGGACGAAAGTGATTGTTGCCATCGAAGGACCCGCAAAGGCGTATGAAGTACACCAAGAATGCCTTGAAAAAGACAACCACATCCCATATCATCCCCGTATCAGCGGAGATGTTGGCCACAGACGATGTCAGCAGCGCACAGGAGGTGCGCCAAATCACGGCAAAGAAGGGCAGGGTAGGGCTGGGCCAAGGTTGTCCAGGGGACGCCCTGCGGGCCCCGACCTGTGAGCTGAAAATGGCCTCGTTGACGAAAAGAGCAGCAGCCACCGCGACCTGAGCACCTGCGGCAGTTGAAGCGGTCAAGATCACACTGGTCGATGTTGCCACACAGGAGGCGAGTGCGCTTGCGCCAAGGCGTTCCGTAGGCACAAAAGTCAACGATCCGGACCTGAGTGTGTGAGGCCGACGCAAGCAACTCAAACTCTGGCAGAGTCCACAGCTTAGAAGAGTGCGGATTCTCAACGATCCAGGGGATACGGCGCGTATCGCAGGCTTGTATGAACTTGAGAGTGGCACGAGCACACAGGTTGCCCATTGTAACTTTTTCTCTGTCCGCCTGAGTAAGGAGGTTGTCTGGCAGGCCCCAGGGAAAATCACGACTGCGTATGGCAGAAGTGCGATCCCGAGCGCCTGAAAAAGAGTGGCACGGAAGAGCGATCATGACACCAAGCACTGCAGCTGTACGAATGGCATGGAGTATCCGTGATTGGACTTGGGGCAGTGTCAGGTCATAGCGTGGCCCATGCATGACATCATATTCAAAACTCTTGTAGCCGAGATGACGAAGACATCGAGAAACGCCCGCCTCGCCAGCGAAGAGGTCAAGAAAGTAAGACCCCGGTCGTCGGTTCCTCCGGGCGCGGGCGGTGGAGGCCGACGATTGAGGAGCACATCCCCGAGACAATGCTCGCACAGATCGGCATACACCTGAAAGCTGCGGGGGAGGCTCTGGTAACTCAACGATAGCCGGCCAGCCTTCTCGTATCTCAGTACAGACTTGTAAGCCTTCCAATTGCCCCTCTTCTGCACGTCGTACAGACTCCGCCAGCTTCTCGCCCGGTCTATACTGGGGCCGGAATGTCTCGTTAGGTACGGAGACAAGTCCAGACCCAGCTGCTGCGAGGCTTGCCGGAAAGTCTCGAGGTACTCGCCGTACTGGAAGTCCCAAAGTGGCGCCGTAGCCGGCTGCCGTTTGAGCGCCTCCAGAAAAGGACGGATCCACGGCTGGAGCCATGGAGAGTCCAGCGCCACTGAGTGGTCGAAGTCGCCGGTCTTGGTAGGGGTCTCGTACTCCTGAGCGGCCAGCAAGAGCGCCCACTCGTTCAGGGCCCCCATACTTGGTCGCACCAAACACCTCGTTGTGCACCGGAAAAGTTCGCAGGGTCGACTGTACGTTGACAGGGAGAGGAGCAGAAAGATGGCCATGCGAGTCTGGCCAGCCTTCTTCATCTCCACGGCCACTGCGCTCCACACGCAAAGAGGCATCGGCTTCCGAGACCGTGCCGGGCACAACCGTCGCCAACCCTTTAGGGCCCGCCAGCTTCTGGGAAGCTTGCAAGTCCCTAGTCTGCCGAAGGCGGGCTGCTCGTGCATGAGCGCGGCCAAAAACTTCTCGCCTTTGTGAGGCTGTTGTCCCTCCCAAAACAGGTGATTGAGATAAGAAGTGACGGTCGCGTCCATGTCCCCTTTGTCCAGCCCGTAGCGTACCACGAAGCGGTTGAACGCCACCAGCTCCTTGCGGTAGTACTGCTGCACCTTCGAAGTGACCGCCTCGGACTCGAGAAAGGTGGAGCCCCGCTGGGCGCTCGCAAACGCTGCGTCCAGGTACTTCCGAAGTCGCTTCTTTCTCCGCTGCGTCAAGGTCCTTGAGCGACCTGGCTCCTGAGAAGCTTCCGGGGGCTCCTCGGTCTCGCTCGAGGACGTGTCTTGGGCACTGGTTTCCTGTGCTGGTAAGACTGCCAGGGCTGTGTCGTTCTCGGGCAGGCGCACCACGGCCCGGGCTCGGGACACCAACAGGGTTGACAGGTCGGTGGGTTCCAGGGTTCTCGGTTGCTTTCGCCCTGTTGCCCTCGCAGTCGTCTCCACCACTGGTGCCTCGAGTGTGCGCTGTCGCTTCTTCGCAGGCGCTGGCTTGGGCTCGACTGGTGGGGCCAAGCGTCGCTCCCTCCGCGATCCGCGAGGGAGCATCAGCCGCGTTGTACTCTGATGGAATCCATCGCACACTTGGGGAAATGTTGCGAGCTAAACATAAGGCCCCAAACTTCCGAATGATCCGCAGCATACTGAAGTTCCTTGATCGCCCTCTGTCGAATGCAAGAGCTACGGCCATATTGTGAACCAGAAACAATTGTCTGACGTTCTGTCCCCGACGAGTGTGGGCGATTCGAGAGAGAGACTTCAGCAGAGCATGCGCTTCCAACACCAGGATCCCGTCAGGGTGCTGCCAGCGCCCATGTAGCTTAACATCCCAGCAATCCTTCCTGAGGAGCTGGCGAGGCACCTCCGGGAAATCCAAGTCGATTTCCCAGCCGGCCTCGACCAGTCTTGCGCAGTCAGCCTCCTCATCGTCGTCTAAATCGCTCTGAATCAGGGCCGTGGCTCTGGCCCCCAAGGTTGGCCCTCTTCGGAAGCGCTCCCGTTCGGGAACTCTTCCGATGCTTCCTACAACGTCCCGGGGTAGCAAGCTGGCGCAAACGCCGAAGCCACTAAGTGAAGCATCTGAGGCGGAGACCAATGTGTTCCACTCCCTGGCCCAGTCTGCAAAGCATAAAGGTAGCAATCCCAAAAACGTACGGAGCTCCTGCCGGACTGACGACCACAATGGGCAGCGGGTGTCATAAGACTTCCGCACAAACTTGTAGGTGCTGCTGAAAACTGACATGAGCGAGCGATTGAGAAGGGCACAATAGGTGCAATGTCCCAAAACAACTTCCACCACCCGCCCACTTACACTGCGAAGGTTGAGAAGGTAGCGAATGCCCTGCCTCAATCTCCACAGCCTTGCCGGCTTCAGCGAGGCTCGCCGCTTCGTGCCCGATAGCCTGCACCCAAGGGCGTCAATGTGCTCACATTCAATCTCGCCGGGGTGTAGAACAAGACCGCGAGCCTCAAACTTGCTCTTGATCTCATCAAGCGCCCCTTTAGCGAGCTCCTGTGAAGTGCTCAGAACGCCAAGGTTGTCAACGTAAACATAATGACGTGGGTCCCCGGCGGGAAGCTCTGTTTTCTTGTCACAGGCGTTGTCCTGGCCGCAGCTGCGGATGACAAGGGGTGGCCCGCGATCACGTAAAAGAGCCGACTGAGCCAAGAGCGGTACGTCGCTCATGAGGTGCTCTGAAACCGCCTGCGCGAAAAACAACGACCAGCTACAGCCCATCGGTAGTGAGGCCGGCATGGGAAATATCAGCTGATCTGCCGCAAGAGTAACACCATCAATCTGCTGTCCTTGGAGCCCGACCCAATGTGCAGGTATCGGACCCAAACAAAACAGCTCCTGCATCCACCGGGGCTGGCGCAGGCGGTGGAATGCATCTTTGATGTCAGACAAACCGACGAAGAGAGCAGCCCCATCCCCGACGATCCCCGGCATGGCCTTGCTCAGGTCATCCGAGCCGTAGTTGAACTCGAAGCGGGCGAAAGCCTCCGGAGTACAGAGCCGAACAGGTGGAGGCTGAGCTAGAAGCGAGTTCGCCCTCCTGGCATCAATGATGAGCCTTTGCCTTACACCATCGGATTTTTTGACGAAAAACATCCCAGCCCTAGCCCGCGGGCGGAGAGTAAAGTTCAGGTAGCCGATGGAGTGAAGCTTCTCAATGAGTCCCTTGTACTGTTTCGTGCTAGAGCGCAGCGCTGGATCCCAGTAAGGTTCAACGTCACAAACACTTTCAACGTCTTGTCTCAGCATGCGCTCAGGAACCTCCAGATATTGACGGGCGTGTCCCGGCAGTAGATCAGCGACCTGTGGACAATCGTGCACTGACTCTGGCAAGGACACACGCTCAAGTTTGAAGGGTGCCAAGGTTGTACCGGCAGCC